TTACTTTAAAAACTTTTGGCTTTTTTAACAAACTGATTATTTAGAATAACTTGTATAGTGACTAACTACCTATTACAATATAATTTATAGAACAGCATATCTCACATGTGAACATGGCCCATTGTGTTATTATTACCTACACTATATGCGTTCTATTTAAATTATTTATTTTCACATTTAAATCCCAACATTAACCAAAGTCATGCGGATTGAAAGTTCAAAAGCATGAAATTAATCTAGTGCTGTTACCAATATCTCCAACATAAAACACAAAATCGTTTGATGCATTATAGATTTTGCTATAATGATCTGGATTAAATTCTAATGCATTGACCGATCTATTTTGCAAGAATTATAAATGACTGTAACCTGAATAGCTTGGTAAATACACAAACTTAAAAGTGTACAAATTACAAGCAGTGAACATGGGCGTCACCAGGAGGTAAAAGGGGCAGTAGTCCTCCTCTCCAGGAAAAAAAGTAAACTTTCTAAATATCTTATCACTAGATTAAAGTAGACATGTTGGCTATTTTTAAAAAGGCTGCACTTCTTACCAGTATCTACTTTGACTATAGGCCTTTAATCCAGTTTGAAATCATTATAAACCAAAAATACTAAATGTATACATATATCTTTATCAACATAAGTAAAGGAATAAAATTTTAGCTCAATTACTAAAACCTGGTAAACCACCTCTTGTAGCAAAATTCTACAAACTAAAATGTTTGTTACTAGTAACTATTTAAAAAAATTGAGCATGCTTTTAGGTTATTTTAAAAAAAATTGTGTCTTTGTCCCCTAGAAAGAGTTTTGGTGCGCTCACTGATATTGATAAGGTCATTTTTTTAAGGACTCAAATAAAATATAATATGTATATTAGTCATTTTTAGTATATTACACAAAGAAAATATGTAATTTATTAAAGCTGTACCAGCTTAATTCAACAATCTTTTTTAAAACTTTCATAAGAACAATCTTCACAATAACCAAGAAAAAACGTACATATTCTTTATATTAAGAATTGTTGTGAGAATCAAGAAAGATTTTCTGGACAGTTATCAACCAAACCCCGTATACATTACCTTTATTAGTATTCCTGAGCTATTCCTTTTTCAAAACGAGGTATCTAAAAAGGCGTTATCGCTAGCTACAAGTGACCATTGAATAGAACAGTAAATTAGAAACGTGTAACATTGTGGGAAAAAGTAAACAACTTCCACGTTTTTTAATATGGACGTACTTACATATCTTCACAAAGCGTTTTAAATCCTTTTTGAGCGTTAAGAAAATATCGAAGGCATTTAGAATTTCACTCGAGATTTAATAATATCTTATTTAAAAGATTCTTTGTCTATCTGTTTGAAAATTTGCCGTGATTGGATCATTATAGGTAATAAAAATCTGTACTGATAATAGTCGATATTTTTGAATGGTTTATTTGCCAATCGGGGATTATAGAATAATAAAATTTCTAACTTTTTAACCTACTTTATCGAAAGTTGTCTACAGAAAGTGAATTTCCACATAGAATTAAGCAAACATAACAAAAGATAAATATATAATTACAACAGTAACACAGAATTTATATTTATTATTTCTAAATACTACTTTTTCGAAAAATCGAATCTTCTAAACCGTTAAGAGTAGAGGATTTAAATTTGGGCATATTAAAATGAAGGTATTTTTTTAAGCTAGGTGTATTGTCATTACTATAATTATTAAAATATGACAAAAAATCGTAAAACCCATTCGCACAGGCCTCAGTAATGAAAGATTGAAAACATCTACTGAATTTCAGCTCTAAATTTACATTCGTTTAGTAATGGGAATTTTTGAAAATCTAGTCATTTTACGTTTGGTACCTACAAGTATATTTTATTAGAAGCTGCACTTTTGATGGTCTAGAAAGAATACAACACTAAATAAATTCAAATTAATACCAGTTAAAATTAAAAATTTTATTAATTATAAAATAAAATGCTTCTTGAAACCATGAATTTTTATTGATTTTCAGAAAAGCTAAAAAAATATATATCATTGTAGCCTTCTCTCAATATCAGAGAATAGACCGAATAAAAACAGTGTTAAAAGAAATAGTAGCACGTGCACTCAATTTACGCCTCGTGTGACAATATTTCCCACCCGTATGAAAAATATAACTTTCCTCACTCCTAATCTAATATGTTATTAACTACACTCTACATATTTTTCTGTTTTAATATATGTTATAGCTTCAGTTTCACATTTTTCTCGTTCATAGTGTGTTATGTTATTTTTAATAATAATAGAAGACCTCAAGCAGAATTGTTTGAATAAATGATATTATAGATCTGATGTCCTTTTATTAATCTTGTTCGTTATGTTCTATTTTGTCCGTGCGCCATTTTGTCCTGCGCTATTTAGTCTATAAATCAGGTGAACGATTTACCCAATCATATCCTTCCCACCACCTGGAATTTAATAATTTTTTTGGTTATTATCTGCTCGGTGGCAGGTCTGCAGGATTCATTGAACCAGGAACCAAGGTCATTGCTCTTTTTTAGTGAGTTTTAAGATTTCTACTACAATTTAAAGGATTTTCAACAGAATTCAAACCACAAGATATATGTACAACCTTACTAGTTAATAACCTACCTGCAAAGTCTACATCAATAAAAACTTCAACTTCAAGAGATTCTTGGTCTGTTACCCATATTAACTAATTTAGCTTCTCATGGACCATAGCTTACCGATTGAAGTTATCCCGTATATCTTTGGTTGATCTAAAGCTATAAAATTACATAAAAATATTTTATCTACTTTATTTATACATCTTACAAGAATTGTGAATGTTTCCCTCAGTCCGGATACCACCAAACAAAGAGTGAACAATGGTTTCTTGTTTCAAAGTAGAATAAACCAATTCAAATACAGTTTTACCTAGAATATAAGATTTTTGACAGGTGCTGTCTATTAAAGCCCTGACTTTACGTAAAATTCCGTTACAGCCTCTTAAAATAACAGACAGTGTATGCAAAAGAACTTTAGGGGAACTAAGAAGGCTTGTCCAAGGGGTTTCTTGAGAAGTATTGATTTTACTTAAGCTATCACTTGTCTTTTTCAGAGATAATACTCTGGTTTTCATTTTTTTTCCATTAAAGTAGGACACACTACCAAATAATGTATTTTACTACATTTACTGCATCTAACATAATATCTACATCTTCTGTTAATATGACCTACTCTAAAGCCTGTAAAACAGTAATTATTAGCAATAAGTAACTGTTTCTTAGCCTCAAAAGTCATCTTTTGAGCATCCAAATAAACATGACTTTTATGTTTTATACTTTTACAAAAAATATAGTTAGAAATGTTATTAGTTTCCGTCAGAAGCCCAGTCTTTTTCTTGGCCAGAAGTTTTTTCTTCTTTAGACACAGCCATGAATATCTTTTCTTCATTTTAGACTTTCGCAAGTTCATCAATTTTTCCAACTTGTCCTTAGAGTTGACCATGGAGTTGCCTGATTTGTTACTTCTTTGCCAAATACTCAACACATTTTCGGGAAGGCACAACTCTACAAGTGGAAACGTCATCGCAGAACATTTATCTGAAGCTACTCTTAATGATTCTAAAGACCTTTGTTTACATTCCAGTTTATCGTAAAAGAAAAATAATGAAACTATCAAAGAGGTTACCAAATTTAACAGTTCCCTTAATGTAGATTTGAGAGCTTCCACAGCCTCAAGGTAGTTTTCTGCAATAGGTGAAAATATTTCTATAACAACTATAGCTCTAGATCAAGGTAACGTTGACTGAATTAAATACTGAAACTTCTCATTATCAATGGTCTGGTCTAGATCGACTTTTTTAAATAATCCCCAACAATGAGGTCAGTCGCCGAAATCACCACCAAATTTCTTTAATTCACTCTTGGGAAGTTTAAACTTATTAATCTGGGACGTACTACCGTTGACAGATCCAGTTCGTCGTAGAGTTTAATTGAAGATCTCTTTCTCTTACAATATTTAACTATAGCTATAGCACTTTGTTTTAAGAAAAATTGTATGCCACTTAAATGTATATTTCTAACCTTTTGGAGACCTGGAGGCACCCTGTATGTATATTTTTTCAAATGTATTCAATTTTATTCTCAATAGTCTAGTTAGAAACGTGTAGGTATTTATATATACTGAATATTCATTAAAACGATATTTATTTAATTTCCTATTGAGATCTGAAGCCGTTAATAACGTTTGCGACACTAATACGCAAGCTATCTGTAAATAAAATCTTGTAAATTCTGAAGAGACCATAAACATTTCTGAATTAAATATCTATACAAGTTCATGTAAACATTAAATCAAAGTAAAGTGTTGCCACTCATGCATACATCGCCAGTGACTGAAACTCATTAATATTCTTTCGATGTAAAGCAACGCCTGATGCCTGAACTTGAACTTGCACTAGAGCAGTGTTAAAGTTGTTTTTATGTAAAAAAAGAACAGCTGGAAGAGGAGTGAGTAATGATTTTTAGAACTTAAAAAAAAAATCATTGATGTTTGTCTAGTGAAATTCGTGACAGAACAATTGTGATAAATTCCAGTTTTATTGTAATTTTTAAGAGGTAGAATTTTCTGTTTCTCGATGAATCTATATTAGTTAGTACCATTTTAATTTAATATTAATTAGTACTATTTTTAACCGACATCAAAAAAGGACAAGGTTATCAATTCGTCGGCATATTTTATGTATGTTCAGCGATAATTCTTTAACACGGTGTCTGATTTTAATGATTCTGTTTTTTAGAAAGGGGGTACTTCAGGGGTAGTCCCATATAAATTTGATTAAGATGTGGTGATGGCATATGCCCGATTTGAAGTCGGTTTTTTTTAAATTACTTTTAAAATTTAATATTTGTTAAATTGTCCCAGTCTCATCGAATATCAGATATCAAATATAAAATCTAAGATTTAAATTTTTTCCTCTAGCATGTTTTGATGTTTCTTTATTTTTATTTCAGGCAAAGCCGTTCCTTTCGTAGAACTGACCGTGGCCCACGCTTCGGTACTTACCATCCTCGCCATAAGTTTCGAACGTTACTACGCCATCTGCAAACCCCTCAAAGCTGGATACATTTGCACCAAAGCTCGCGCGTCTCTTATATGCTTGCTAGCTTGGTTTGTGGCAGCAGTTTTCACAAGGTAAATAAAAATGTATACATAGTTATTTGTTTTTTGTACAAATGTATTATATTAGAGGTATATTTCAATAGATCAGTTGATTCTTTTGGTTCTAAACATTATTTTTACAGTTAAACTTTAGAGGGCATGAAATTAGACATTTGCCCAAAAATTCCTAGTCACATACTATCCTTATTTCTAGCTAGCTATTTGCTATTAATCACTTAGTATTTGTACCTCATCGGTATAAGATCGGTGCAAAATTTGTGAATTGCCGCTACATATAAGAAACTTTTTCTTGCTTAATAAACGCTTCATTTTCGAAATACAAAAAATTTGCGAATAATAAAAGAAGCAATTTAGCATTTGGTATTCAGTTACGCCATCTAGCGGTCGTCCTACTTTTAGTCATTGAATTGTTTCCCATTGGGTGCCTCGATACAAACAAATGAACATAATTTTTTAGATTTATATTTTTGTTTGATAATAAAATCTTTTGATCTATTGAAACTACTTTATGCAAATGGTTATGCTTAAATCTAGGTTTAGTCTGGTAGGATAGGATTTATTACGGAGTGTAAATTAAACTCAATTCTCATTTGGAATGTAAAATTCGCAATAAAATAATGAGATTACTGGAATAACAACTAGGTACATCAATTGGATTCAGCAATTTAAATTCTATTTAAAATCACTTGCAAAAACAGAAACAATTTAAGACAAGTAATTCAGAAAAATCTTTTTGTAGAAATTACAGTTCTTATTTTAGATAACACTGAATTAACTGGTAATTTAAAGAAAATCGTTTTACTATGAATTTAATTAATTGCAACGTCACTACTTAAGATTTATGGAGAGCTTTGCTCTTGGATTAACTTGTCTCTTAAATAGACCACTCTCGCGTTTACTAGAATAGTCTTTAGAGTTAAAAGCTTTCTAGATAATAAGAAACTGAATCAATTATGAATTGCAAAAGTATCAGAGGTTTTTTTTTTGGAAAATTATAGAAAATATCTAGGAGACATCTTTCTAAATCATTAAATGACATTACATTACATCATTCTATAGTTGTAAATCATTTTTTGTTAAGAAGTAGACTATTTTAATCAAAGAGGACTTGATTAACATTTTTGTCAAACAATCATCAGCTGCAAGTAGATACCTAACAAAATGTTTTCCTACATTTCTATTTTTTCACCCTTGTCGAAATCTTAACCTACTAGACTAAAGATCAGCTTATTTTTGGCCATTGTGATAATCTTTTTAGCAAAATTTGTCGCAAGAGTAGTCCTACGAAAGATTTGAGAATTTTGTATAGTTTCCAGAATAAAAAATTAAATTTACAATAATAATAAATCGATAATAATGTAATATTTTTAAAAAAATTCAACAGTTCTGTATTAGAAATAAATCTCACAAATTACCTAGTTACAGAAGTAATTAGAGGATCAATATTAATATATAATATTTTCAATAATATGGCTTATTGATATGCTATTCTATTTGTATATAGTTACAAAACATAAAACAGAAATTTTGAAAAACATAATAATAACTCACTTTTGTCAGCTTGATGTATGTATCGAACAATAAATGAATGATCTGGTAGACCTGATCAATATTATTTTAACTATTTTAGTTTCTTGAATCTTATAAATTAAATAAGTAGTTTTGATTATTATTAATACATTTTCATACAATTTTTTCGTATAAGATTGCTCTTGAAAAGCTAGTTGCATGTTGCACGATATATGCATGGCGGACTAACTTCCGCTACTTACATAATAAATCACAGCTTTTAATTTAAGTATATTGAAGCTTTTAAAAGCTGTTATGTGAATGTGTCATGGGAATTTAAAATCGGTTTTATAAAAATGCGAAATATATTACGTATAAAGTTTTAATTTCAATTTGAAATAATTGATACGTACTTCAGTAAACCAATATCTCTACTTTTTCAATGTGATCGTGGAGAGTGGTGTTGACAACTCATCATAAATAAAAAATATAATGCATAACTATAAAAAAATATTTTTATTAACAAATCAAATTACATAACATTTACAAAATATAGTAATTGTGTTTTTCTTTAAAAAATCTATATTGGGGTCTATTCTGTAACAATTCCTTTATATTTAACGGCCTTTAAAAATATTGGCGGCCTATAAAAATATGTTCGTATTAGTTAATTTACTTCTGTCATTATTTAAACAGATTTCTTTAAGATAGTCCTCTAATGTATTTTAAAGATCCGTTTAAATAATGACAGAAGTAAAGAAGAAAATATTTTTAAAGGCCGTTAAATATAAAGGAATTGTTACAGAATAGACCCCATTATCTATGAATCTTGCTTTCACGAGAACTAAACATGATTTTGAAATGTTACATATACGGGTTTTAATGAAATGAAAAAGTGTAAATATATGTAGTTTTGAAGAAAATTCGTAGGCAAATCAATGATGCCACGTAGTTTACACCAAAAGTCTTGGTTGGTTTGTAAAGAGTTTGGCTTGGAAGCGAGTCCATTAATCACAGAATATTATAAGTTTAAATCTATTTTAAATTGAGTGTTTAATTAAATATAAATAAAACTAGAATGAAGATTTAATGATTCTATATTAAAATCTTAACATTTTAACAGATTTTTAATCAGATTTTTTTCAGAATCATAAGATTTCATCCTCTCATAAAGTTTCATTTTGTCATTTGTTATCGTTTTTTGTTTCTAAGTTAGGATTTGTTCAATATTTCAACCCCCTTTATCCCCCTATTTTCATTCAGATATTTTTAAATTATTAGACTTTGTCTCCTTACAGAGCTTGAGTTTTACTAAAAATTTCAGGTTGATATCGTTTATCGTTTTTGAGTTAAATTTTTTTTTTAATATTTTATCATACCTTAACTCCCCATTTTGATTCAAATTTTTTTCAAAATCAATTGGCGTCTTCATCTACTATATAATCAGTTTTTTATTAAGTAAATCTTCGGGAAGCACTTGTGATCACTAAAAAAAGAGTACTTTAGTACTGGTTAGTTGCAACGTTACTAACACTCAGTGTTGCCAATAGGCTGAAAATATAAATGTTCTCAAAAAATTTAAATTCCCTATAACGGGTTCGGCAGTTCAAGCTTCTTTAACTAACACTAAAAAACTTGATAATTATGATAATACCATGGATGTTCTAAGACAATTTATTTGCAAAAAATCTAGTAGTATATGAAACACATTTAACGATTTTCCCCCAAATTTGGGGAAAAATTATAAATGGCACCATCGCAATCTGTAATCGAAGCCAGCAACATACCAATTGGTATCGCCAAAAGGACAACACTTGAGCGACCTTTTTGTTGCTGTGTATTCGACGTTGCTATTTTAGCTTATAATAATTATAATAATGCCATGGGTGATCTGAAACAATTTTTTTACAAAAAGTGGACACTTTTAACGATTTTCCCCAGATCTAGAGAAAAATTATAAATGGCAACGTTGCACTCTGTTATCGAAGCCAGCAACATACAAATTGGTATCGCCAAAAGGACTTAAATGACCTTTTTGTTACTGTGAGTTCGACGTTGCTATTTTAGTTTTTAATAATTGAAGACGCAAGATAAAGGTGTCATGTCATATTTTTAAAAAATATACTTAAAATATACTATATTTTTTTATTTGTGGTAGTTCTGATTTTCAATTTTAATAAATAACGGCTATTCATTAGATAGGAAGGTACCATAAGCCATATATCATAATGCAATTCTTAAACTTTAAACTTGTTTATCCACTTATGTCTTCAATTATGATATTACCATGGGTGATCTGAAACAATTTATTTACAAAAAGTCTAGTAGTATATGTGACACGTTTGGTGCTTTTCCCCCAAATCTAGGGAAATAATATAAATGGCAATGTCGCAATCTGTCATCGAAGCCAGCAACATACAGATTGGTATCTTCAAAATGGCATCACCAGAGTGACGTTTTTTGTGAGCGCGTGGCATTTTAGCAGAATTTTGTGATCACTATTTGAATCAACGCCTCGCTATTACCGTTTTGGCGATTTCAATCTGTGCGTCCGCTTCCTTTGGTGATAGATTACGACGTTGCCTTACTGAATTTTTCCCCAGGTCGGGGAAAAAATATAAATGATAACATCGTGGAACGTACAGATTGATATTGCGAAAAGGCAAAACCTGAATGAAATTTTTGTAACCGCGTGTTTGACGTTGCCGTTTTAGCAGAACTCTGTGGAAATATGATCCCCGGCATTATGCTCTTTTAGAGGTCACTTCCTTAGATAACAAATAACGACGTTGTAACACTCTATGCAAAACCTGTAATAGCTTAATGACAATGTCACTTTTACATATTTTTCCCTAGGTTTAGGAAAAAATCTTCTAGTGTCCTTTTCACTCCCCAATACAGCGTTTTGCAGAAGGTGCTTCAATTTTGACGCAATTGGTGAAAAAGTACGTCGTTTCCTTCGTTAACAGATTGCGACGTTGCTCTTTCGATTTGTCCCCAGATCTGGGGAAAAATAAGCAAAAGTGTTCTCGTCAATGCGCCGATTAAGGGTTTTGCAAAGAGTGTTTCTATTTTGACGCAGTTGGTATCAATGTCTAATTTAAGATGACTTTACAAGGACTAGGATTGTATTTGTTTGCTGTCGCTTCAAAAATGTTGTACCGAAGTTTGTTGTTATTTTCAATTATGCTGCCTTTTTTTATGTGTTTCTTTTAAATTTCTATTACAATCATTCTTGTTAGGTTTTTGTGTATTTTTAATTTAAAATAAACTAAAAATATATTTGTACTTTTCGTGTCCCCATTTTTAGGATTTAAAAATGCGTTGAACCATGCCCAGTGCCCCATCCGTTGCTGCTGATATTATATTTGATAAAAGGTGTCGTTTTTCCATGAAGTTATTTTTCAAAACATTAAATAATGTTTGGCCTTTAGTGTTAGTTGTCATAGATCTTGCAAAAAGCAGCTGTTCGTGTATTTCTTTATCCATAATAAAACGAACTG